AAATTCTAAACTCAAATTAATAAAATGAATGGGGTCTTATTCTTATTTATTCAACGAAAATTCTTATTCCTCTTAACTAAAGAAAATTCTTATTCTTATTTATTAAATTCATAGGTCTCGTTCATTTTACTGATTCGAGTTTTCAAATTTAAGTTTTTACAGTAAAAAAATTCTCAAAAAATGTTACATAGGACCCGTTTAGTTCGTTGATTTGAGTTTTTAATTCGAGTTGATATGTGATTTTATGTGATAGCTTTTTACTGTAGTAAAAAAGTTAGATGTGACTATTTTTGAAAGCTTTTTACTGTAATGAAACTTGAATTTTAAACTCAAATCGGTAAAATAAACATGATGCTAATTTTTTTTATTATAGTAAAAAAATCTTAAAAAATATCACATCTTAACTCGAATTAAAAACTTGAATCCGTGAGGTGGAGGGCATAGTTTTTCTTTTATTTTCCTTTCTTCCGAGTTCTGATTGACTCAGAGAGTGAGAGCTAGGGTTTATGAGAAGATCGAAGGTGAACCTCTTCGATCGGAGGACGATCATGGATTCGGCCACCTCGACCTCCGATTCCGACTTCTTCTTTGCCTTTAACGACAGCAATTTCTCCGATCGCATTCTCAGGATCGAGATCATTCCCGATTTGCCGGAGACCAAATCGGACGGCGAGGGCTGCACCAGCCTCGCCGACTGGACCGGCAGACGGAAGAGACGACGGGAGGAGATTAAGAGAGAGAACGGTATTCCTCTCTCTCTCTCTCTAAAATTTTCTCTGCTTTATGTGTTCCTCTGTTTTCGTGGTTGGGGTTGTACTGTCCTCTTGTTTGGCTGCTGGGAAATCATGTGAAAATGAAATCACTAGTTTTATGCTTAGCTTGAGTGTGATTTTTTGGGAACTTGATGCAAATTCGGACTCTTTTTGCCTTAAATTTATTTGTTTATTCATTTTTTGGGTTTATGTTTTTTTATAATTTGTTGTGTTCCTTACTTAGGTTTGGTAGAAGAAAGTTTGAATTTTGCTTTATTGCTGTTGGTCTACTGCTGATCCTCAAGTTCAAACATGGACTGTTTGGTTGTTAAAATCTATGTGAATATTAGTTTTACTAATGTAGAGTATAAATCTTTTTTTTATTTTTTTGGCTTGTAGTTGTTGATTCTCTCGTACATCGTGAGGAGCAGATATTAAGTTGTCAATACCGGGCACGGAAGGAGCTGCGGGCGAGAATC